AGATAATAAGTATATTATAGTTTTCCTGCCTGTTGGGGACATTTCGCTTTAAACGGATGCCGGTATTAAGGATATAAGCTTCTGTCTCATCTCATGTATTACTTTTTCGCATAGCCAACAAGCTAGACTCCTCTAGTAGACTTAAAATTTTTTAAATTGTTTTTAGAAAGCATATTTTTTAATGTTGCTTTTTTATCTTTTTTTTTATTTTAACGCAAAAAAATCCAGAGCTTCCTGGGCAACGCACGGCATTACTATTGTTTTGCGTACTCCACTTTAATTTCGATTTAGACATTTCAAATCTAATAAATCTGATCTAAATTTCGATGATTTCGTAATCATTTTCCATCCAATCATCTTCCAGAACAATCAATCTCTATTTCGCCCAATCCGAGCGTACCTTCTCGAACCTGCGATCCAATATCGCTTCAAGCCCCCCAGAGCTGAAGAAGACAGTCAGCAGAACAGCAGATATGACAGCTAAAGTGAGCGTCAAGTGGGGCAAGCAAGTGTTCCAGGATGTGGTGGTGGACAAGACGGCCCCCGTGGCTGTGTTCAAGGCGCAGCTGTATGCGCTGACGTCCGTTCCCGTTGAGCGCCAGAAGCTCATGTCCAAGGCATGGAAGGGAATGCTAAAGGACGACGTGGACCTCTCAACACTCGACAAACTTGTGGACGGCACTGGCATCATGCTGATGGGCTCGGCCGAGGTGGTGCAGAAGCCCAAGGAGCCCATCGTCTTCATTGAGGACATGACTACGAAGGATATTGCCGCAACAGGTACTGTGTACCCCGCCGGTCTCGTGAATTTGGGCAACACATGCTACATGAATGCCACGCTGCAGTGTCTGCGCCCCGTCAAGGAGTTGCGAGAGGCGCTCAAGGCCCAACCCGGCGGTGTCTCGGCCGATCTGGCCAATAATTTCACTACTGCACTCAAGGACATGTATGGTCAGCTGGATGGCAGCGTGGACAGCATCACTCCGTCCATGTTTGTGTCGGTATTGCGTCGCGCATACCCTCAATTCGCACAGCAGGCGCCCCGTAGTGGTGGATACATGCAGCAGGATAGTGAGGAGTTCCTGTCTACGCTGTTCTCGACGCTACAGCAGACGCTGACGCAACCTGCGGGGGGACTCAAGTCTCTGGGAGCCACGAACAACGTGGTGGATGCTCTGTTCGGAATGGAAATGGATGAGAAACTCGAGTGCACTGAGACCGACATGGAGCCAGCTGTGGTGAAGAAGGAGAAGGCTCTTAAACTCGTGTGCAACATCACGATTGAGACCAACCACCTGTCTGAAGGCATCAAGATTGTACGTGGCGCTAATGAACTTGATGGCATAGTGAACTGGTTGTTAATTGTTGATATTTTTTATTTTTGTGGTGATAGGGACTGGAAGGCACGATTGAGAAGCACTCGGAGGTGAAGGGCGGCAATGCGGTGTGGAAGAAGACTATGCGGATAAATCGTCTGCCCAAGTATCTGTGTGTGCAGTTTATGCGCTTCTACTGGAAGGCGACGCCAGACAGCCGTGATCACGCGGGCGTAAAGTGCAAAATGCTGCGGGTAAGTGGTGATTTCGTTTCGTTTTCTGATGAGGTTATACTGATAAACAAACATTATGTTTGCCTGTTATTTGCAGCCTATCAGCTTTCCTCTGACCCTGGATGTCTACGACTTTTGCTCGGACGAGTTGAAGGCAACCATGAAGATCGCTCGTGACAGAAATGCTGAGAAGATTCTCAACGAGTTCAAGGACGTAAGTTTTTATGATTCTATCGGTAGTTTCCATGATTATCTAAACGGAAATTCATCTTTACTGTGTTGAATTCGTTTAACAGAAGCCTGCTGGTGAAAAGAAGGAGGACGAGGCAGAAGAGAAGAAGGCAGCGGATGAAGATGATGCTATGGACGGTTTGTCGGAAGAGGACAAGGCTGCCCTCGAGACTGCACGCGCACTTTCCATGGGAGCCAAGTCTCCTGGCATCGATCTCCCCATCGATTTCCAAGTACGTTCACCATCCTTATGCTTCGATGTTATTCTAGATAACTTATCTGTTGACTACGTGTACAGGGAAATTACGAGCTGTTCGCGATTCTGACGCACAAGGGCCGGTCAGCTGACTCTGGTCACTACATGGCTTGGGTGCGCCACGAAGGAGGTATGCACACCGAGATTACAATATCCGGATGATAAATGCAATTCGACTAATGATAACATGTTTTTTGTAATGATAGACGACTGGTACTGTTACGATGACGACGATGTGTCGCCGTGCAAGACGGAGGACATCATGAAGCTCAAGGGCGGAGGTGACTGGCACATGGCGTACCTTGCTTTCTACCGTGCCAAGAACTAGGATATGAGCGCGCCAGCATGATAACGCACGACACCAAGTCAACTTGCGTTGCAGAGTAGAGATGAGATACTTTACCGTCTTCACGAACAAGTGAATGAAACACCTTTTCTTAACTGCCTATGCAACTCCAACACTTTAGATACTCGATGAACGCTTGATAATAATGCAATCTCTTTTTACATTTCGAGTGCACAGCGAAAATGAAAAATAACAAAATGAAGGGAAGCCCAAGAAGCCCGCGCACTTTGATCCGTGACTTTTGTGTCTACGGCCGCCGACGAACAGCAGCTCATTCACGGTTGTGTTCGCCGATCCCTCGGTCTTGTCCTCGTTCTTCTTACATCTGAATGCCCTCGGATCTCTGACCGGAAGAAGGGGACAAGTCCACTTTCCGGGGCTCGATATCGCTTTTGACCGAGTCCGACATGTAGTCTTCGTCGTCGTCTTCGTAAGTGTATTCAGTGGTCTTGTCGGCGAGTGTCAGCGCATCCAGACGCGGGGGAGAGACCTGCGACGAAGACTCGGAAGTCATTGATGTGGCTCCCGTAGATTTGCGACGGACTCCCGAAGGAGAAGGAGGGGGTGTCACGCACGGCGACTCTGCCACGGGACTGGCTGGGCCAGGAGAGCCAATGACGTCTCCGTTGGCGCTAGTGGGCGACATGTCCGACTCCGTGTCTTCATCCTTAAGGCCCTCCTTCGTAGCGAAGGGGGACTTCTGGTCCTTGTCTGTAGCCACCCAAATACGGATGGTCTCCATACGGCGCTGAACACCGGGCAAGTCCATGTTGTCAGCGTCCTGTTTTAAACAATAAAAATCAGTCACATCTTCAAGAAAACGTATAAGAAAAAACTCAGAACTTACCGGGCAGAACCACTCCATGCACACCTCCAGGTCCGTGCGGTCGGCCAGGACGGGGGTGAGCAACTGCACGAGTGTGCCGCGCGTCTCGGCGTCGAGGTGCGGGATCTCAATACCACGCACCTCGAGCGTGTTGATGGGCTGGCCCAGCACGACGGCCGTGATCCACTTGGCCAGGAAGTTAAACTTGTCGATCTGTCCGCGGCACACAGTCTTAAGTAGAACCGTGAAGACCTCCTCAGGCACCTTGTTCTTGGACACTTCCATGACCTTCCGGAGAGCAAAGTCCTCACGAACGTCGAGTAGCAGTTTCGAGTCTTCGAAGCCGTGGATGCCTAGCTGGTAGCAGCCCTCGCATAGGTGGTAGTTGACGCACTTGGAGCACGAATACATGTTCCCGACGATGGGGTCCATGCCACAGCCGTCACAGAACGAATCCTCGTTCACATGGGTCGCAGGGAACTTCATCTGCGCTACTTTCTGGCCAATGAAGCGCGTAGCAGCCGACATTTTGCTGCCAATGCCATTTGAACGAACTTGGGGGTCAGTAGGGAAGCCAATGAGCGACGTGGTGCTGTCGCGCTCCATGCTGAGCGGCTCCGACATGAGCCAGAAGCGCTTGTTGTTCTTTTGGATCTTGCGCTCGCCATGGATCACACGCTGGCGCTCACCTTCGAACACAGTCTGCTGAGGTCCGAAGAACAAGTGCTGGTCCACGTGCTTAGCTTCTTCGAGGAGCTGTGCGTTCAGGTTGCTGGCGCTCACCACGGAGGGGCGGACGGCAGGAGCATTGTCGCTGCCGTCGGACGGCACGCTGCGCCGCAGGACGTTGGGAATCGAGAAGAGCGACATCGGGAAAGAGTGTCTGCGGTCCAAGCGAGTCGTCACGCGGAGAATGGCTTAATGCCTTGGTACGGGTGGGGGAGCGTCGCGCAAGATGATTTGAACATTTGGTAATTGAGATAGTTGATAAAGATGTTTATACTTCTCTTTATTATTATATTATTTGTAAAGAGATCTTTCAACATCTAGACGTAGACACTACATTTAATAGCTGTTTGTTTGAGTTCATCGTGTGGTGGGATAATGCATACAATTTAGTATAGCAGGTTTTCACCCGCGTGTTTTTCTTCGTGTGGTTTCAGTCATCTGTGAACGGCCAGAAGAATGAGAGAAGTGGGTAGGTATAGGCGAGTCATTATTTTAGGAGTATTCAACTCCTAAAATAGATGAATAGAGAGATTCAGGCCATACTCAAAACAAGATATCGAGATCCAGTGGAATCGGACTTACTCAGTTCCATACTAAAAATCCGGCACCGTATTTTTATTCTTTAGTTACCCCGATTAACGGCTTTTGGCGTGATGAGCTCTTCGCCTCATTGTAGCAAGACGAGCCCGCGCGACAAGTGGCTACCCAGCAAGCAGCAAGTTGAGTGTGCCTTGCAACTCGACGCGCGTGAGAAAACTCCATGCGTGCTTTACTTCCTGGGTTCGGCAGCTCGAAGGTCTCCAATGTCCAGCGGTGCTGAACGTCAGCGACACGATCAGAATTGGTTACCGGACACGTCAGTCCGTTACACACACCGCCTGTCCGGAATCTTAGAGAGTCACTTGCGCGGTGCCACAGTTATTGCTCTAGTAGTACGCGTCACGCTGCCGCTCGAAGTAGGGCGCCACGAGCGTGAGAAGCAGGGTTCCGAACTATAGCGGACCCCATAGCAAACGTAGGCGACGAAACAACAGAGCATACGTAAGTCGGAGTAAATGAAATCAACGCCGATCCTGTCGGACCAGAATCAGAAGCAAACCACGTCACGAACCTGCACATAACCGATGGTCTGGAAGTCCTCGATGGCAGCAATTGGCGTTTGCAGTAGCCCCACGAGGCCACCGATGCAGAACGCGATACCCGACAACGCTCCATAGTGTTGGAAGCCGAAGCGATGCCCCAAGTACGCGAATAACAGCGGGAACATGATGGTCCGGAAGAATGCATAGGTCACGAAGCCTGCCACGATCCACCCGGTCGACATGCTACTCAACATCACCGTAAAGCACAGAGCCACCACTGTGCACAGCACTGACGAGTACGTGTACCCGCATTTCTCCAACAGGTACCCCACAAATGGGATGAAGACCACACTGCTCGGCAACACAAAGGCCAGCTTAGCAAGCAAGCTGGCCACTTCGCTCTCTGGAAAACCCTTCCAGCGCAACAGTCCAGTGATGCTGCCCAGGAAGAAATTGCACCAGAGCGACAGGATGGAGAAGTAGAACACAACGAGTAGGAAAGGCTTGGACAGGACTTGCGTCCGGAATGAGCGGTTGTGCAGGTCCCCGTCGAAGAAAACCTCATCGGTCGGCAGGCGATGACGTTTGCGGTATTTGTCCAGCTCAGGTGTTGATAGAAGAAGTGAGACCTCCTCCTCCTTGAACACGGACGGTAGACGCATGGGCGAGAGCAGCTCGTGCTCTTCACTTGGAATGACCTCGAAGGGCGTGTCCGGCTCCGTAAGCACTGTACCGATGAGCGAGAGGAATACTACACCCGCGTATACCTCGAAGATAGTAACCATGGACATCTCGAGGTGTACACATGCGAGGTCGAACAGCGTGAAGATTAAGAAGCTCAGCTGCAGCCCTCCGACAATGAAACACGCAACGAGCGCTGTTGCTTCGGGGAACAAATTGGACATATGAATGCCAGAGAGCTGGATACCGGGACCCGAGAACCCGACAAGAATCATTCCATAGAGCAGCAGGTCGATTCCTTCTGAGTTTTCTCTGATGATCCAGTCAGGATAGAGTGTTAAAGAGAGAAATGCATGCTGACCAAGCCAACAGAGACGGCACCATACCTATAGTGTGCATTTCCCATTAACAATGCGCCAGTTATTAACAGCACCAACGAAATAGACTTCGTCACGCGGGGACCGAATCTGCACACGCAAATATCATCAGTCTGCCGCAGTATTGCTACGATAGTCATGACGTACTTATCAAATACGAGGCCGAGCAGCAAATTGGACCACATGCTGCTGGAGACTGCCATCGTGAATGCGTACTGGAGACGGTCGCTTTGCGCTGTGCAAACTGGCACACAATAAAACTCGCTTCAGATGACAGTCCGAATTCTCATGCCCACCGACCGACGTACTTGTTTCTCCAGGCTTGCATAACTCGTTGTATATCCGCTCCTTCTCCAGCATGGGCACCAGAGACGTCCTGCACAGCAGCGCCACATCAAACGTCAACACATAAGATGCAAAATCTCCAGAGGATTCTCCAACCCCCAAAAAGCTACATTTACCAGCCAAAGATAATTCCTGCGCCAAGAAAACACTGGTAGATAGCGAACGCCACATAGAGGTAGCGATGCGGGTAGCGTCCCGTGTCCATCCACGTCGGCTCGGCCACCAGCATCATCCGCTCGCTTACGCCTGTACTTGAGGTCGATGAATTGGAAATGAAATCCGTCGTGCCTACGTCTCAGCTGATAATCTGGTGTTCGATATACATCAAACAGCTGTTCGTGCTGATGGCCTGTCATGCGCATAAACTATAGGTTGCAACCTAGACTTTTAAGCAGGCTTCCTACAATACTCTATCACAACCACCAATACTTGGATGACTAGCGCCAGCGAGACTCGCTCTGCGACGCTCATTGCGTGGCTCAAGCGACTGGAAGACGAGCACAAGAGCAGCGCTACTTTCAGTACTATAAAGCTGCTGACCATTCATCTACTCGGCGCCGACCACCGTGAAGGCAACTCTGGAGCGGAAACCTTCGAGGTCTTCCGGAACTTTACACGGCATGTAGCCTATGCGACTCACGTGACTTCGCTCAAGCTGGTGCTGGTGGGACCCAATCTAGCCAGAAAACTACACCTCACCGAATTCTCGCAGGAGTACAGTGAATCGTACAAGACGTGCAGTGTGGACATCAGCTACTTCGTGGGCGGCTTCGAGGCTTACTTCGAGGACAAAACGCTCTATTGCGAGCCAGACCTTGCGGTATGCTTCAATGCCGGTATATGGGGCTACGATGAGTGGCTTCCAGCCATCAGACTAGTGCTGAATGAGGTACGCGTGCCACTGCTAGTAACATCGTACAACGAACACGAAGCTGGAGACGACGAGGACGTGCTGGACGAGCTGATGCCATTCATATGGCTCTGGCGGGCAGAGAAGAACCCGTGTGGGGCTATCACACCGCGTGCCACAAACAACGAAGATGGATCTGTTCTAAAGGAGAACGACTACTGGATGTGCCTGAGCGGTAGGCAGCAGTGAGGCGGGTGGACATGTAAATCTATCATCGAAATTCTAGTCGAGGAATTCGCACAGCACACCAAGCATGTTCAAAAGTAGCCTATCTTTTTTATCTCTTTATGCTACGTAGCGTTGCAGGCCCTTTACGGATGCGGCGGATTATCTGTTAGCTTTCAAGCAACAACTCGATTGGGACACCACACGGAGCATTGCCCATCAGACGACGCAGACGTAACTCGCCTCGTAGCTCGCAAATCTGAGGGAGAAACGCCTTGTGTTCGTCAGCCACTTGATCCCAAGTCTTGGTTGGAAGCACAAGTGTACAAAATGTGCCTGACGCATGACGTAGGCGGATGTTCTTCACCATTTCTTCGCAAGTCTTGCCGCCGCCATGCGCTGTAGACTCGCGCTTGGCTCCGAACGTCAGTATGGTTGCGTCTTGGAAACTTTCTTGAACGTAATCTTCACTTTGAGCTCCTGGTGCAGGTAGCGGTGGCGATCGCGGCACTGGAATATGCAGGAACTGCTCCTTCTCCTTGCTTGTCGCAATTTCAGAAAATAAGATGCCGAAATTAAACGGCTCTGGTTGTGATGTTGAAAGCGAAAACGAGTGTGACGGTGCTGCATGTTCACCACCACCCACAGTACCGAGAGGAGGGCAATCCATGCACAATAACTGACAATTCTTGGGCACCGACGGGTCATCGCGCAGCGATGTCTGCACGTTGGTAGGGTCTGCAATCTGGAACGCGCTAAAAAGATCGTCCAATGTCGCAAGCACCTTAACTCGTATCTGGCTCATGTATTCCACTGCCTCCGCCATTATCCGTTCAGCTTTTGTAGCCTCAGCCGAATCATTTTCGTGCTTCTGCTTCTTGTGTTTTTCCTCGTCTTCGGAATCCGAGTCGCTGTCATCCGTGGCCAATGCCATGGGATTTTTCTTCACTAGTGTCGGAAAGCAGGCTCTTACTCCTTGCAAGAAATTCACAGCCACTTCGCCCACATCAAGCACTTGTACACTAGGAGTGTGAGTCTCTTGAGCTTGAGCCAACGGCACCACCAGAAGACGGCGCTTCCCGTCACGCTTAACACGTCCGCCGAGACACGTAAGCTGACGAGAGCTCTGCATGCGTCCAGCCACCACCACATATTCGTCAAAAGGCAGCTCGGCCTTTGTGGCCACGTCCACGAGCGCTAGCGCGCCGCCGACGGCTTCTAACACGAACATGATGAAAATGTGATTATGCCGAAAAAACGATCACGCAACAATATTATGCAAAAAGCAGCGAAACTACTAGTACTATAAAATTCACAACAACAAAGTAAAACACAAAAACTCAAAAATAGTAAATTTGCCAGACCTATCTATCGTACGTGCATGGCATCATTGACACCTTCCCTGTTTGCTATGTAAGCTCGACACACCGTCATTTGCTTAAATATGAATGTCGGCGGGCAGGACCGACGGCTTGAGGATTTCTTCGACTAGGAAGTCCAGCGGGAATTCCACAAGATGACCACGGATCTCCGAGAGTTGACCACGAGCACGCGTCTCGTCCTCCTTGCGGACTGTGGCTGCTGTCTGCACATGGCCGATCTGGCACTCAGCGTCTTCATCGTCCGATCCTTCTACAGCCTCTTCAGTAAGGAGACCATCGCGAGTCGCAGCGTGGTAGCTACCTCTGCCATCTTCCAGAAGCGGGTCGTCACTGTGCAAACGGTCATCGTCTGTGTCAAAGTACTCGGCGTTGAACTTGGAGCGACGTCCGAAGTCCAGCACGTCCATCGTCGAGTACCATCGCTTGAGTGATGCGCGAATGCCGTGACCGCCTCCGTAGTCGCTCCCAGCATCGCTGGATTCGTCATCTGTGTCGAGATTCCGATTGCCTGTAACACTGAACATGCCGTAAAAGCTGCCTCGCGCGCTGCGAGTATTACCGCGAGTTCTGACACCTGCACCAGTACCCAAGAGAGACGACGTTCGGGCGCTGCGTACACTGCGTGCTCCAGTTGCAATGGCTGGACTTTGAGGCGTATGCTGGAAGCTCGAAACACTGGGCGAGTTCGGGTATGATGGTGCATCCCCAAGTACAGCAGGTCGTGCGGTCGGATTATCCCCGAGGATTGAAGCGTTTGACGGCATCGAATTCGAATTGTATAGACGACGACCATGAGTAGCGCCTCCGACACTCACGCTACCAGAAATGCCACCGTCCGTGTCCAATTGACTGAAATTTGTCGGAGTGCTGACAGAGTTGGAGCGACTGAAATCACCCTGTTGCAGTCTTCGCCAGAGCGAGTAGAACCGTCCATGCTCTTCATCATCACTGGCAATACTGAACGAGCTCTCACGAGGATCCCGAGGAGGTAGGAAACCCTTCTTGACCCATCGACGTCGACGAACTTGAGCCATCAAACGATCCGCTACAAGATGCTGAAGCTTCTCTCGTTTCTTGTAATCCGTCTTCATTGTGCGCACCTCCTGGAAGATTGAGAAGTTACGCGCATAGCACCAACCATCGTGATCCATGGAGAACAGCTTCTTCTTCTTGTCCCTGTAGTTGTCCACCTCGAAGTCTCTGAGATCCACGCGATCTGCCGCAATGGGCACACCGTTGACATCAGTCCATGGTGCATAGTCTCCTTCCTTCAGGTTCTGAGCATCCCATACATGAGATCGACCGGGTACCTTGAGCACATTCATACGCTGATTTTCGAAGATCTGCGTTACTTCGATGCTCTGGAAGTTCACAAACGCGCGCATGCGGTTTGAAGGCGCGCAGTCAAACACGGCCTCGAAGATCTTACTGTTGCTCGAGGCGGTTGACTTGATGTTATTCCACGTGCGATCTGCTGTTGGGTCCGACACAGAGAGATCATCATCGGTCAGGCCTAAGTGCTCGCGGAAGAGCTGTAAGCGGAGCTTGCTGGCTGCAACACCCCGTCGGTAGGGTTTCTCATTCATCACACCGTCCTCATACTGCATATCCTCGATCACCAGAGCAATCTCCGAGTCCCGGTCACCATTCATACTGCGGTCGTTGATGTTCGCGCTGCCGATGATAGCCAATCGATCGTCTGCGATCATGAGCTTGCTGTGAATGTAGATCTGCTCGGTGGAAACGCAGCCGTTAGGCATAATGCCGTAGTTGCGCAATCCGAAGAAAGCTACGTAGTTCTCAGGGTGGTTTGTCACGCCCTTCAGCGCCTCGAACAAACTGTATCGGCCACGGCAAATAGTGGCAAACTGCCAGTGCATCACTGCGTGAAGGTTTGTGAGCTCGTGACTGCGAATATTGCCCTCGAATGCAGGTAACAGCGGCATCACCACATACACTCGGAATTTTTCGTCACGCTGTACAGCACGCTCGATACGATCCACCAAGGCTTGTAAGATCCGGTTGCGTACGATTCCATTGCCGTCCATTCCTGACACAAAAAACTGGTTCTCGATATACAAGAAGTGCTTCGAATTGGCGATCACATCCATGTAGGCCGCTTGAATACTAGCCTCAGTAGGCACACCAGCTGACCACATGGACACTGAGCGGCATACTTGAATGTTGCAGATATTAGCGCTCGGGTGGAAAACTTGCAGAATAGACTCGCCACGCTGAGCACGGAGCACCTCGCCATCGTCTAGTGGACCAGTATTCGTCGAAGCACTCGTGAGAGGTGGTCGCATCGGGTTCAGTGGGTGCAATGAAGTGGTTGGAGGCCATTGAGGACCTGTAGCAGCACACGGATACATAGGGTTCACCGACTGCACCACTTGGAAGGGCTCCACCATACTCAACGAGTCCTCGCGAACAAGGGGAATAGTTGTCCGAGTGGATCCATCGCGCATCGGTTCAGGGTCTGAAGACGGGTACTGCAGCGTCCAACCATTGAAGTCCATGGGCACAAGGCACTTCGGCAGGAACTTGAAGCGCCGTGAGCGGAAGCAAATGCACCATCCTGTTCGCAGCTGGTAGTCATTCTTCGAGCACACGAAGTTCCATCGCTGGATGAAGTGATAAGCTATGTCCTGCACTGGCGGTCCGGAAATGCTGCAATGTACGTCATGCCAGGGCATACGCGGCTGCGAAGATCGATCAATGAGGTCCTCAAATGGCTTGTTCACGCGAACAAAATCCTTAATAATCGGGTTCGAGTAGTCCTTGCCTCTCCAGACAGGATCAGCGCCAGAGTCGTTGATCGGGTGACCATGATGGTCATATCGGCCGAAGCACAAGTCCAATCCACCCACGAATGCCAGAGACTGGTCGATGCAGACGATCTTCTCGTGATGAGACCAGAAGCCGAGACTTTGGATCTGGAAAATAGGATCGCGAAGCACGCGAATGTTCGGATGTACCATCAGAGTGCGTTTTGTGTATGCACTGTTCAGTGTGAGCGCCAACTTCACCTCACGATAGATCAGCACATAGATCTTGACACCAGCCTCCGCTTTCTTCATCAACACCTGACGTAGCATCGTCTTGTTCACTTGCTGCCCGTCAGGATCCTCGTCAGCTTCGCGAGGCGGTAGCTTTCTGCCTGGACGGAGCAAGAACAGATCCGGACAGACCCACCAACCGGCAATTAAGATCTCGTACTTCGCGTTCGAGATAGCCTTGTACATGGCTGCGTACGTGTCTTCAGCATCCACATGCCAGCTCACAGCACTCGGAGGAGGCGTTGGTGCTTCAAACGAGTCTTCAGACTGCGTACTGCTGTCAACACGAGTAGAGGCAGGTCCCAGATTCCCCGTGCCCATACGAGAGGCCGTTTCCGCTTCCTGCTTGACCACCGAATCCACTACCTGATTGATATTGCTGGTGGACGAGCTTGGAATCGCCAGCTTAGCCGCCTTTGCCTTGGCAGTGATTGCGGCGCTTTCATCGTCGTCAATGGTGCTAATGTGTTGTGGCGCAAAGGAATTGAACCGTGTGGATATTTCCTGACGCTTCAGCTTCTGCAGACGACGTACGCATCGGAACCAGTGGTCTCGACGCACGTGAGGGTGCCAAATTCCAAGATAGGTAACGAAATAGTTGGCCAGGAAACCAACAACCGGTGCAATAATACCTCCAGCAAACAGGAAGAGAATGTAGTAGACGTAAGACCGCCATGTAAGAGGAGAGATCCGCACAGTAATCGCGCAGAAACTGTCGACATTGCTGAAGCTCTGGACATCGATGTCTGTGTCCACACCTTCCAGCGTTAAGTTCCCCACAGTTGGCAGAGAGTAATTTGTGCCAGACTCAAAGAATCGATCGTTTTTCGCATCAATTGGCTTCACCACGCTCACCATCGTACCTGCCCCGACTGCATTCGTGATCACGTTCAAGCTGTAGCCCATGCTGTCGCTCTGCCAGAAGTATCCAAGATTTGCCGTCATCGAATTCGACGATGGCATCTGTAGCTGCGAGATTACTGCGTTGTCTTCTTTACTCTCGACGTACACCGTCATACCTTCAGGTACAGTAAAATAATAGCCACAATACTCGCCATCGCTGCTTTCAGTCCAATTCTCGTATCCTGACGCGTTCGTAATGGGTACACCCAAACTCTTGTCCAGACTCAAGTACTCAAAGTCGTAGATGCTGTTCGACAGCCGCATGATACCATAGCAAACTCCCATAAGCGCAATGAAAGCCGTCAACCGAGTGTAGTAATGTCCCGTGTCGATCTCGATATCACCTGCTTTACTGCCCACGACCAAACCACTCGGCATCCAACTCACACCTTGTCTGTAGCTTCCTTTCCTGGCGGTAAAGTTCTTGTCGAACAAGAACACTTCACTCGGCTCTCTGTCGTTGCGATTCCGGTACGCCGCAAAGCACGATGGTTTCAGCACGACCCACCGCCGGATGACACCAAGTCGATGCTGGAAAAACTTGTATACGAACACAGCAAAGAAAATAATACCTCCCAGAACCGCTAGACCCAAGAAAACACCAGCCGTATTCAGTTTCGTCGACACCTCCTTCGTGCCTGAGTCCGAGTTCACCAGCTCCTTTTGCGGAGAGAAGAACGTCGGCAAACTCGTCACGATCACCAGACAGATAGGGAAAATGAAGCCCACGATAGCTGACACGAACGCGATACGCATCCACGCTCGATACAGATGTCGATACAGCGCCTCAATGGTGCGGTTAAAGCACGTGTATAGCGGCAACTGGAACGGTCCGTTGATGCGCATGTGCACGTACCCCTCCTTCAGCGAGGGACCCAGGCGTAGCATAGCTCGTGACGGACTCACTTCCAGGAATGACAGCAATGGCTCTGAATTCCGCAAGTCCCGGTCTTTGAGTAGTTGTCTAATGTAGTCCTGCACCACATACACGTCGGTCACGCGTTTCTCGGCGCGCTTTTCGCGCCAGATCGTCCAGGGCAGATGCACTCCGCGCATGATCTTGTGTCTGTTGAACAGATAGTAGAGATGCAGGTTTAAGTGCAGACGCAGAAGTTGTTTCTGCCCAAAGTAGATCTCCCAGTCTGTAGTGCCCCAGCGTACTCTGCCCACGAACACACAGCACGGGATGACGCCAGCTTTTGTGACTGTGGCTCTGTTTACGGAGAAGTCAATGGAGTGCTCCATGACTTCTTCCTCCTCCTCACTCAGATCAGCGTCGTCGTCGTTCATGATGGTCATCCCGTCGTTCGGGTCCTCGAGGATGTCGCTGTCGGCGCACTCCTGGTTGTCGATGTCCACTTCCTCGGCGTTTAGTTCACTCGATCGATAGCTGTTTACGCTTGCAACGCTGCCCAGGCCCGAGGTGATGGAGCTTGGCGCCGGTCTGAGGCCGTAGCCGCTATTGTTTGTTCTGGCGGCTGCGGTCGGTTCTCTTACGTCGTCGTCGGGTGCAGGCATCCCATGTAGGCGCTGAACGGACGCCACGATATCGGCTTGCGCCTAAAAGAGGTCCTGTCACTCCCTAGAGGCCTTTGCGGACGCCGAGGGCTGCGTAAAGCGCGGAGAACTTTGCGCAAATGACGGGCGGTCTATTGCCTCTCGTTTAGAACGTTCTGCCGCGGAATCACGAGCAAGAAGCGGCTGTCAGAGTCCTGGGCTGTCTCGTTGACGAAGAGGCCGAGCCACAAGAGGCACGAAGACGCGAACGAAGGAGAGCAGCGAGTGCGGACTCGGCGGTCGCTGGGCCTTGCTAGGTTGTCTGTTGGAATGGGGCGGAGGCGATTATGCATGGAAAACCTGTGAGAGTGAGTTCCCCTCGCAGACGCGATGCGATGACGCGGCTGAAAACCTGATAAATAGGATAATCGAGTCGGTTTTGCCGTGATATAGCCGGGCAGTTGATAAGGTTTGCAACGTTGAGTCCAAGTTGGACTGGGACTCAGTCTGGCCCACACTCTTAGGTGAGTGTTGCTGAGCCTGTCACCTCCTTTTGCCACGATCAGAACATCGCACTGGTCGGTCCTGGAGGTCGTCGCTGCGGATTCCGCGAACTGGGCGTGGTGCTGTGATAACTTCAAGGCACAGATTTGCCCAACGACCGCTTCAACAAACGATGAGCGGCAACGTGTCGATCGGATCCTGCGGTGGCGGCACCACAAGGAGTGCAGGAACCCGTAGCGACAACGTGAACACGCCGGCTATTCTACAGCTGCCGTTACACCCGACGGCGCCACTTAAAAAAGTAGCGACCAGCGCGACTACTGTACATCGTGTCATTGTGGTGTCGGCCCAGCAGCTTCCACACCGTGTCGAAGCTGCTGGCGGGAGTGGCGTAAATGAAATGCTTGAAGTACTTGGTGTCGACTCGACTCCAAGTACTTCAAGATACTGTCGAGACGTTGGCATCACTACTGTAATAGTTCACTAACGACTCTCGTCGACAACACCCTCAGCTTCTTGAATACGAAATCTGCTTGCCACGCAATTCCGACTGAGTTAATCGACGAACAGCCAGCGTTTTAAAGCCTCCGTGACACGGTGGATTTTGAGCTATGTATATACACGGAGTCCGTGTATATATACACATCACTCCATGGATCAAAGTCCACCTAACAGCCGGCGGTGATCATCGCTTCTAATGGTCAATTTTGCTTCCGAAATTAATTCGGGAACAATCAACCCGAATTTAACAAACCGCGATTGAACACTTTGCGCGGATGGATTCCATTCTTGATGAAGCTGCCTACTCTGTTGGTAAATGCTCCCCGAAGTTCAAGTACTTCATGACGATGACGTTGAGTCCGTGCCGACACTCCCCACATCGGCAACAAATTGCTGAGCATTGCTCAGTGAGCAATGACCAGACGAAGGCAGACAACACTCCATTACCGAAGGTACTGGAACTTACCACCTAGTGGTCCAGAATAATTTCGGCGGAATTCCCTCCAACGAGGTACACGTAAATCAGGGGATATCCCGCACACCACAAGGTGCACATGCTTTCCCTAATATAAGTGCACTGCGATGGTACTGGGGTGGTCGCAGTGGAGACCTTCAGTAAGATCTCACTTTTGTATCGATCTCCAGCAGCATACCCATCGCGGACAATGGCGCCACCATTCGACTTCGACGGGTTGCTGCTCGCCGCTGCATTCCAGGGACATCTACCAATGGTATTCGAAGCAGCAAAACGAGGTGCAGCTCTGGATGCTCGCAATGACGATGGCAATACACCGCTCGTGCTTGCAGTAGTAGCAGATCACCTTGAGGTGATAAAGCTGCTGTTATCGATCGGGGCTGGGGTCGACGCACAAACCTCCCTCGGCAGCACTCCACTTCTAGTAGCTGCCCAGTGTGGCCGCTTGGAGGCTGCAGACATCTTGCTGGACGCCGGTGCTTCAGTTGATTTGGCTTCGAAGAGTGGTTATACACCACTTATGCGAGCAGCTCGAGAGAACAAACATCAAGTCGCGAAGCTATTAATTGAGCGTGGAGCAGCGGTCGACAAGCAACTTCCGAATGGGAATGCTGCACTCAGGATTGCAGCTTTTCTTGGATGTTTCGAGTCTGTGCGGGTTTTACTTGACGGTGGTGCGTCCATCGATTTGGAGAACTCGAACAGCTACACTCCAATAATGAATGCCGCACAGAATGGACACGCTTCTGTCGTCAAGCTCCTTGCCGATCGAGGTGCTTCTGTTAATCACCAACGGACAAACGGAAATACTGCTCTCATCTCTGCTGCGCATTACAATCGCTTTGACGCTGCAAGAATTCTGCTCAATGCAGGAGCTTCTATTGATTTGCCGAACAAGACAGGGGAGACTCCACTGATGTTCGCTGTGCGGCAAGGACACGTGAAAGTGGTCAAGCTGTTGATAGAGAAGAAGGCCAGTGTGAACATCCATCGTGAAAATGGATCGACAGCTCTTCATCACGCTGCGTCTTTAGGGCATTCAGAGATGTCACGCCTTCTGCTGGATGGCGGTGCTCAAGTGAACGCGATCGATCAACACGGAGCGAGTCCACTAATAGTAGCCGCGCAGCAGGGCCATAACGAAGCCATAAAACTGTTGCTTCAGCGAGGTGCGGCTATTAACCAGCAGATGAACGATAAGGCGACTGCACTTCAACTTGCTGCCGAGAAGAACTGCTTGGAGACAGCTCGAATTCTGCTGATAAATGGCGCAAGTGTTGACAATGTTAATGACGAAGGAATCACCCCGCTGATGATTGCAGCTAGCCAGGGCTATCACGAGTTGGTTGAATTGTTGCTTGACGCAGGAGCTGATGCTCAATTGGAGAGTACAGCGCCAAAAGCTCCGAAAGATACCGGTAATCTGGGCAACTCGCTTGCATCAAAGCAGCTGACGTTTGAGCTCCCTAGCATCCGCACGGCGCTGGAATTGGCTACACGTGGAGGGCATTTTAAAGTGGTGCAACTCCTGCTGGAGGGTGCTCCGAAGTCGAGGTTATCTGCTGCACTGTTTGATGCTGCCTTTTTCGGACGAGAAGAGATAGGAAGAATTCTAGTGGACAAGGGGGCCAGCGTCAACCAGTGCTTGGATAATGGAGCTACCGCATTACTGTTGGCGACACAGGAAGGACACACTGAATTTGTGAAGTTCCTGCTGGAGCGTGGGGCTGAAGTTGACAAGATATTTGACAAAGGGTGGACAACTCTTTTTGCCGCTGCAACTTATGGGCATGTGGAAATCGGTCGCATTTTGATCGAAGCTGGTGCAAGTGTTAACAGATTACTGGTAGATGGCTCAACACTTGTGATGCATTCTTCGAACGAGGACTTTGTGAAGCTATTGCAAGACAGTGGAGCTGATATAAACAAAACGAGCCAGAATGGTAACACCGCACTATGGCAAGCTACTGCGAATGCGAATGCTGGAGTTGTACGTGCGCTACTGGAAAACAAAGTTGATGTCGACCAGCTCAACAACGATGGGTATACGACTCTCATGTTAGCTGCAAAGTACGGACACAGCCAATTGGTAAAACTTTTGTTGGAGTATGGAGCTGAGATTAACAAACGAAGTCCTGAAGGCTGGACACCGCTCGACTTTGCTGCCTTTAAGGGGCATCTCGAGATATGCTCTGTACTATTGCAGCACGGTGCGTCTGTAGGGCAAGTTCATGACAGTATCGGTACAGTACCACTGATCTTGGCATCTCAAGAAGGCCACGACGGAGTTGTTGAGCTGTTACTGCAGCATAAAGCTGGTGTCGACGAGTGCCGCACAAATCGGTGGAGAGCACTTCATTCTGCTGTTTTATTGGGACACAAGAAGATCGCTCGTGCGCTAATACGTGCTGGAGCAGACGTTAATCAAGCTAATGACCTTGGTTTGACACCACTGATGATTGCAGCACAAGGAGACTGCATGGATACTATCGAAGCGTTAGTGGAAAAAGGAGCTGTCATAAATGTGCAGTCAAACGATGGGGTAACTGCCCTAATGCTTTCCAGCTTGTTTGGGCGAGTTCAAGCCGTCAAAGTTCTAATTGACAATGGAGCGGACGTCAACTTGAACGATAAAAGAGGTAAAACAGCGTTGATGGTTGCAGCGGAGAAGGCGCAAACGAATATTGTGAATGTTCTCCTCGATAACGGAGCTGACATTGGTGCCAAGTCTCATGATGGCAAAACAGCGCTGATGTTGGCTTCTTGTCGTGGACATACTGCCACGGTAACGAAGCTGTTAAAAGCCGGAGCTGGTGACACAGTGGATTCCCAGGGATGGACGCCATTGATCGGTGCTGCTAAAGGGGGGCACGTGAGTGTAATGCGCTTGCTACTTGAGAAAGACAGTCAAGACATCAATATCGTCGATAACATGGAGAACTCAGCATTACTCCACGCCTCATTCGGTGGTCATGTGGACGCCGCACGGCTTCTCCTGGAGTATAAGGCGTCAGCGGACAAACAAAACCATTTTGGTTGGACCCCGCTAGCAGCAGCCGCTCAGCTTGGACACAGGGAATTGGCAGAACTTCTCGTTAAATGCCATGATGACGTTGATGGGAAGCTGCTCGATGGACGTTCGCCACTTCACCTTGCCGCGGAGGGGGGACATGTCGATCTATTACGGATCATTATTGGTAAAGGT